CCCCAAAACCCCAAAACCCCAAAACCCCAAAACCCCAAAACCCCAGGGAAGCGATATTTGGTTGAAACTAATCCTATTACTATTTGGATTTCAATAAGTCTCCGAATTGTGCCAAAGAATTCTTGACTTAGAGAGGACTATCTTGACTAAAATCCATTTGCATTGGTGATTATTATTCATAATTTCCAAAGAAATCCACCTCTGTCATTATCTTGACATTACTGAGTCCATACTTTAGTAACACTTGCTTAATCTCCTCTGTTGTCAGTCCACAATTATGAATTTGAATTTTCCTATAAGGAACGAATAAAAATAGGATAAAACTATCTTATTAGTACAACTCAGCTTGATAGCTAACTTCAAAGTGAGCAATTAAAATTTCAGATATTTACCTTTCTTCATCGTGGCTGCTTTTAAAATGGCCTCCTTCAGTTAGGAACTGGACGAGGGTCTCGAAGTGGGATGGATTTTCAGACCAGTCTCCTGTGTTTTTACTACTACAGTTTTCAAGGCAAAGAGTGTTTAAATTAACTGATCCAGAGGAAAGGAAAGGCAAAGAGGGAAGAGAAAGAAGACAAGAGATGAAAGATATCTTTGAGATATCTTTCATTGAGGAGAAGAGTGTTGAAAGACTGGAGTTTGAAATTTCAAAATGAGAAATAGAAATTTCATCTTCAACTCTCTTAGTAGCTCTGCATAGTTCTTGAGAATATTCACTAAGATCGCTAATCGATCCTTCTTTGGCACTCAACTCAAATTTTTTGATTTTTTGAGGGAAGTATTCTCTTAGGAACTTCTTAAGGTCTTGTTTAATAGCATCTGAGACACCTAGAATCTTTATTTCATATAATTCTGGCATTCTGGTATCTAATGACGTAATGAATTCACTGTTGGATGAGCGGTGAAGATCAATAATCAAAGAAGAGCTTTCATTAAAAGTCTTTGCTTCGCTTGTGGTGAATTTAAATATCTTGGAAAGATGGGTGTAAGAGATTGAATGTGGCTATTTTAGGGAGGTTAGAATACAAGAAACTTAACTTAATAAACAGAATGAAAAGCTAATTAAAAGAAATTGAATTTAGCATAAATTTCATTTCTTTTTCTGCCTTTCTGGTCAAAACGAAATTAATAGTTGCAAATTATGCAAAAGATACCCCTTAAAAATTCTTACAAAAAGAGCCTGGTCATCACTATCCTCAAGATCATCAGCCTTTAGGATATTGTCATTTTCTGAGACAAGTTTATTCTCTTCAAATTCGTCTCCTGATAAATTTTCTTTCTTTTCTTTATGCTCTATACCACAAATTATTATTCTCTAATTCGAATTTTCAAAAATACTTAGATAACAAGTTAGTCCATTTCTCATCTAGATCTAGAAGTTTTTGAAGAATAATAAAATCTTTGAGGATCTTAAATACAAGTTTTGGTACTTACTCCACAACCTGTCAAACACCGTCTCCTTCTTGGCGCTACTGTCTTTAGGCATGATCCTTCTTTGGCCCTTGGGCTGGGTAGGGGAATTACTGAATGTGGGGTCGTAGTCTGCAGAGGTGCTAATTGGTCTGAACTCTAAGTTTTTATCTTCCCTGTCTCCAGAGCAAAGTGTTAGGGATTGACCCATTGTAGTTTTTGAAGTAAATATTTATTGTTCAAAGGTGGTGGGGTTATTTGGGGTTTTGGGGTTTTGGGGTTTTGGGG